GCGTAGACCTTCATAAAGTCATGCCAGGGAGATGACCCCACATCATGCCACCTCTAGCGTCCAAGAGACAGCCACAATATAAATTATAAGGCCTTGTTCACAAGGGCATACTACAGCTTACACCCGTGCAAAGACCATATTTTTCTACATGGGGGATGCACAGGTGTTCTGTGCAGGTCATCCCAATCATGGTAATTGGGATGCAGCAGCTGCACAGACACGGCCACTGCTCTCAATTTGACATCCATGTGCGTTCAGAGCTGTGCACCCACACGGATGTTGGATTAGCCTGCATGAACAGCAGTGCATCCCCATGTAGGTAAACACAGTCCTCGCACAGGTGTACACTGTAGTGCGCCCCATGTGAACAAGGCCTTACAATGAATGTCTCTTATTTGTTCTTTTAACCACTTCCCGTCCAGCCGTTTATATACATGGGCTGGACAGGAGCAGTGCAGGAGCGGGTGCCCATTCACAAATGGCGCCCGCATTTTTAGCCTGTGCGCGCTCCCTGGGAGCGCGCAGCACCGCGATCCAGTGCCTGCTGAACATCGATCGATGTACGGGACCTCTGGCCAATCGGTGATCACATGAATAGTAGTAAGCAAGATGTCACTTCTGACATCATTGCTTACTACTTGTGAAATCTGAATGATCACAGAGGTCACATGGTACAAGGCTATTCACAACAGCCTTGTACCATGTGACAAGCTGTGACCAATCACAGCTCTCGCAGTACTTCTCAATGGCTGCAAGAATGCAGCCAGAGAGAAGGAGAAATGATTTCTTTACAGCCTTTATGGATGTAAAGGCAATCGGTGTAAAAAAAAAAAAAAAAAAAAACTATAGTGACACTGTACTGCTAGGGTGACAGTATGTTAAAAAAATAAATATTAAAATAAAAATTAAAAGAAAACTATTTAGAAAATTTATAACTTTTTGGTTATAAGTTTGCAAATAAATAAAGATTTATTTGCAAACTTGTATAAGAAAAACACTTTTTTTTTTTTTTTTTTTTTTTCAAAATGTTTGGACTTTTTCATTTATATAGCAAAAAAAAAATAAAAATCCCAGTGAATAAATACCACCAAAGTAAAGTTTTATCTGTCTCAAAAAAAATGCTAAAAAAATTCATATGGGTACAGTGTTGCATGACTGCTCAATTGTCATTCAAAGTGTGACGGAGCTGAAAGCTGAAAATTGGCCTCGACAGGAAGGGGGTAAAAGTGTCTGGACTTGAAGTGGTTAAATATGCAATTGAAAGTATTTTATCTGTTGATTCTGCCAGAAATTTAGTGGGCTTCTTGTGTTCACTGGTTCTGATAATTGTTACTCAGCAGCATTGTTTGGAGCTCTCCCTGGGAACCACAAAACATCTTCTCCCTATGTTATGAAGATGAGCAGAGAAAGAGGTATGTATTCTACATATTTTTGGTTAATAAAAAAAAATCTCATTAAGTGTATATTAATTGGTTTGCATGAAATCTATAACATCTACAAATGATGGCATAGTATACTGGAATTTTTGTTTATTTTTATACTAGTAGTGGCAGCGATCAGCGACTTTTTAGTGGGACTTTGATCTGACACTACAAAAATCTTGTAGAAAAAGTCTTCTTGGAAGAGTGGCAATTGTTATAGCACACAAAGGGTGTCAACTCCATAGTAATCCCAATAATCTTGTAATAGGATGCCTGACAAGGTGTGATGGTGAGGTGTCCAGAAACGTGTGTGTAGTATATTCCTGTTGGTGCTTCACAGTGGATATTTGATATCTGCCTAAAAGCAGCACAAAGCCACTACTGTTGTTATTACACAGAGCAGCACTGATACCCCTCTTCTCTGGTCCTCCGCCAGCGCTCCTGGCCCCTCCCTCCTGCCAAGTGCCCCCAGACTGAGCATCTTGCTATGGGGGCACCCGAGCCGTAACTGTGTGTCCAGTCACACACAAATGCAGTTCGACCCCCGCACCCCATTTTCTCCTCGCTGGCTGTCTCAATGGCTGCTGTTTCAGCCAATGAGGAGAGAGGGAGACCCAGGACAGCTGAGGAGGCTCTCATGCACAGTGCTGGATCGCAATGAGGCTCAGGTAGGTTTTGGGGGGGGGCTGCTGCACAAAAGGTTTTTCACCTTTTGTGCATAGAATTCATGAAGGTAAAGAACCTTGAACCTTTACAGCCTCTTTAAAGCTGTAAATGTAATACGTTGCAGCTTAGCAGTCCTTAGATGTGGTGGCTGCATTATTTTTCATTTTATGAGCTAAAAACATTTTCAGCAAATACAAAAAATACCTGTTATCTTGCCAGAAATCCAGAGTTCTGGTCACTCCGTGACACACAACACAACTACTAGTCTGACAGTCTTCCATGTAATGGTGATGAACAAAGGCAGATATGTGGAAGTCCAGCCTAGGTGACAATTCTTGCTCCCTCCATAGATACAATGCAGGAGTGAGCGTAGCCACCCAGGGACAGGAAGTGTGTTGTTTTTTTTTTTCTCTTCATTTTCACCTGCTGAAAAACAAACAAACCATTAGCCGATGCAAGTCACTAAGGACCGGTAAACTGCTTTTACATTTCATTTTTGTTTTTTTGGTTTAGATGCTCAATAGAAAATTTTGCTTCAGTGAATCTAAAGACAAAAGCAGTTTCATTCTTTTATGTAGAAAATCCAGCACCGAATTGTGTCCCACCTGCATTTCCTTCCCAGATACCTAAATCATGTTGCTAATATAACCTGTTTTACAACCCTGCACTCTGGGCTAACACTTGACAAAAACCTTATACACTGAAACACACAAAAACCGAATACTTGCCTGTTAGGCTCCATTCAGCTGACAGTATTGAACACAACTGTAATGCTTGGACATACAGTTTTGCTCAAAAGTTTGCACACCCTGGCAGAAATTGTGAAATTTTGGCATTGATATTGAAAATATGACTGATCATGCCAAAAAATACTCTTTTATTGAAGGATGATGATCATATGAAGCCATTTTATTATAAATTAGCTGTTTGGCTCCTTTTTAAATCATAATGATAACAGAAATCACCCAAATGGCCCGGATCAAAAGTTTCCATCCCCTGGAATGTTTGGCCTTGGTACAGACACACAAGGTGACACACACGAGTTAAAATGCCAATTAGAGGTTAATGTCCCACATCTGTGGCTTTTTAAATTGCAATTAGTGTCAGTGTATAAATAGTCAATGAGTTTGTTAGCTCTTATGTGGAAGCACTGACTAGGCTAGATACTGAGCCATGGGCATCAGAAAAGAACTGTCAAAAGTCCTGCATAACAAGGTAATGGAAATTTATAAAGATGGAAAAGGACATAAAAAGATGTCCAAATCCTTGAATATGCCAATCAGTACTGTTAAATCACCTATTAAGAAGTGGAAAGTTCGGGGATCTCTTGATGCCAAGGTCAGGTAGACCAAGAAAGATTGCGACCATAACTGCCAGAAGAATTGTTCAGGATACAAAGGGAAACCCACAGGTAACCACAAGAAAAATACAGTGTGCTCTGGAAAAAGACAGCATGGTTGTTTTGAAGGAGCACAATATGATGATACTTTACCAAAAATGAGCTGCATGGTTGAGGTGCCAGGGTATGGAAACTTCTGAGCACAACTGTACGTTCTACGTCAAAATCCTATGCCTGTGTTCTGATCTAATTGGCTGGTTCTGAGCAAATGTCAAGCTTTGGCCGAGAGCATGTGACCTTCCACTAGTACACTCACTCAATTCCGCTGCAATCTTTTTATTGAGCATGGTGACCACAGAAGAATTACGGCAGTTTTATTTCCTGGTGTCACTCAGCTAGGCTACATGGCTTTCAGGTGTAGAGACATTACTGAAAAAAGAAAATGAATGACTTAAAAACAAAAGCTACATTTAAGGTAGCATAAAGCTGGTAGAGCGCACAAAAGGAACCTTCATCCACCCATTTACACAGATGTTAGGATAGCGGGAAGTACAAGCATTGCTTAACAGACTTGTGTAGTTTGGATGACTTATTGAATCCCTCAGAGGAAAAACAGGATGTGACCAGTAACAAGCTGAACGTGGACCAATTTATTGCCATAACTGCAACTTTGCGGTGAAGCACACAGGGATCTGGATGACCAGACTGCTAGAAAATCCTCCTTACACATAAAATACACAACGATTTTTCAGAGTATGTTGGGAAATTGCTCCATGAGAGTGTAGTTTTTGAATCTGACACTGGGGGGGGACTGACTAACTGCCACTGACATCTCCAGTGACACTAATACAGTGATCAGTGCTAATAATATACACTGTCACTGTACTAATGACACTGGCTGGGAAGGAGTTAACATCTGAGGGCAATCAAAGGGTCAACTGTGTGCTTAACAATAATATTAATGTGTATACACTGTGGTGCTTTTCACTAAATATCGATTTTTGTTTCTTTTCATTGCTTAGCAATCAGTTCCTTTTGTATAGAGCTCTGTGTTGTTTATCAACACAGGGCTGTAGACTGTGATTTGACAACCAATCAGCAGGTCCTGGCCATGACTCCTTAGCCAGGATCTGTTGACAAACTGCCGTTGTGTGAAATCACAGGGGAGTAGGCAGACCCGGAAACAGGCAGCGACGTCAGGATGCCTGCAGCTGCCGAGTCGGCAAGTGAGTAAGCAGCAATCTATGACATTTTTTGCTTTTCAGGTTGCATACACGTTAAAGCACAACTTCAGGGTAGAGGAAATTAAAAAAAACTGTTGAGCCCCCCCCCCCCCCCCCCCCCCCCCCCACACACACACACACACACACACACACACACTGCAAGGGTTAAAGTTTTGATAGGTCTAAGGGGAGCTGAAGAGAATCTATTACTTGCCTTACACCCCATTCTAACGTTCTCTCCACAATCCCTCAGTGCTACCACGTACAATGCAGGACTATTAACCCTGCACTGTACGTGAAGGAGGTAAGCATCCAATCACGGCTGGGAGCATCTTCGAGAGGAGGCTTCACAGGAGTGGTAGCATGGATGGAGAGAACCTACCTGGAGCGAGGAGTAAGTATTACTCCTTATCCCTGTACTCTTGGCATAGTGGGCACTTGAAGCCCAAATCTGGGCAAATAAAAAAAATTATCCCTTGCAACATCATCTTTTATATATTTTACCAAAAATTGGGATATATATATAATATATATATATTTTAATTTTTTTTTTTTTTGGGGGGGGTGGTTAATTCATTAAGGTATATTTTTTTTTTTTTTTTCCCCCCAAGAAATTGTTTGAAAAATTGCTGTAAAAATACCGTGTGACATGAAAACATTTGCAACGACCGCTATTTTATTCTCTAGGGTCTAAGCTAAAACAATATATATGTTTTGGGGATTCTGAGTAATTTTGTATTGAATAAATGATGATTTTTACATGTAGGAGAGAAATGCTAGAATTGGCCTGGGTGGAAAGTAGTTGATACTTAGAGCATGGGGAAGCCATTACTGCAGTAAACTTTTTTTTCTTGTGTTCGAAGTTGGGCATTAAATATCCCCACCACCCCCTCCCCCTTTCATGACTCTTCAGTGTTGTATCCCACTGGCTTCATCCACTTTGTAGATCATTACTGGTTGCCCATGGGGGATCTTGTACAGAAAGGGGCTCCTCTATGTGTTTTTAAAATTAAAAATGTCTTCAGGATCTGGCGATTTTGCTATGGATTGCTAGTACCTGTAGCCATTGCACTCCAAATCAAACAACAACCAGATGGGGGCACAGTGATGGACATTTCTAGATTGTGAAGGGTTAATACCCAATTACTTTTTCAGCATACTCACAAAAGGTAGATTTCTGAAAGCACAGCATTGCTTTTCTGAATCATACATGAAACCTCTGTACTGCATTATTGGCTACTGGCTACAGTTCCCATAGTAACTATGGACAGGATAATACTTTAAAAATTGTCCACTTCATTCGCAGGTTCCGTCATTTCAAAAATAGTAACACTTTGCAGTGATGTGAAATGCCCCCAAACAGACAAAAAAAAGTGCAAATAAACTGAGAGCACCTGAACTACAGATGTCCAGAACGCCTATTGATAAGCAGCTCAGCCGTGTCGCTGTCACACTGAGGATGGTGGACAGAAGGCAGAGCAACACAGTTTAGAGCAGTTACCTGGGACACATAGTCAGGGTTTATCTTTGGGATGACGCAAGGCATTTGATATAATAGGCCTAATTTAGGCCGGACTATCTTTTTCTTCCCGGAGACTGGGGATCGTACCTATAATACATCAGCAGCAGCCATGGCCTGTAAAGAAATCTCCAGTACCCATACTACTCGCTGGACTTGAATCTGCAACTGCAAATGAAGTCTGGATGCTTGTAGATATGGAAGCAATACTTTACCTCTTCTGACCTTTGTGCTTTTCATAACTCTGCTTTGTATTTTTTTTTATCTTTGAATAATGGGAGGGAGTACCTCAGATTCATATATAAAAGGACAAGAGTGCCTCAGATTTCCATGCCAAATTGGAGGGTGCCTCAGATTCCCATATGCCAAGCAGGAGGGTGCCTTTATTTAAAATGTAAACAGGAGGGTGCCTTAAATTCATATGTAAAGGATATGGTGCCTCAGATTCTCATATGCCAAGCAGGAAGGTACCTCAGATTCTTATTTCAAAGATGAGTGCCACAGATTCTCATATGTCTACCTGGAAGGTGCCTTCGATTCCCATTCCAAATGGGAGGGTGCCTTAGATTCTCACATGCCAAGCAAGACGTGCCTGGGAGGTCCTATATACCAAAGAGAAGGGTGCCTCAAACTACCATATGCCAAGCAAGAGGGTGCCTCATATTCTCTTATGTCAAACAGAAGGGTACCTTAGATTCCTATTTGCCAAACAGGAGAGGGCCTCACATAATTTATCAAGCAGAGGGGTACCTCAGAATACCATTTGCCAAGCAAAAAGGTACCTCTAGAACAGGAGGGAATCTCATAATCCAAGCAGGAGAGTGCCTCTGATTCATATGCCAAAAAGTCAGGTTCCTTAATTCCTCATAGCCAAGCAGGCTCATGCCTCTAATTTTCACATATCAAGCATGCAGGTGCCTCAAATTAATACATGCCAAGCAGGAGGGCACCTCATATGACAAGCAGTGTGCCTCAGATTGCTATATATTTAGCAGAAGAGTGGCCCAGATTTTCATATTCCAAGTGGGGAAGTGCCTCAGATTCATATGATAAGCAAGAATGTGCCTCAGACTCTCATATGCCAAGTAGGAAGGTGCCTCAGGTTCCTCAAACTCTCGTATGCCAAGCAGAAGGGTTCCTCAAAGTCTTGTATGCCAATGCTCAAAGTCTTGTATGCCAAGCAAGGGTGCCTCAAAGTCTCGTATGCCAAGCAGAAAGGTGCCTCCGATTCTCACAAATCAAGAAGGAGGGCACATCAGATTTCCATATAAGTAGGAGGATGCCTCCAATTCTTTTATACTAGGCAGGGAAATGTCTAAAATATTTATATGCCAGGCGGGAGGATGCCTTAGATTCTTCTATGCCAAGCAGAAGGGTGACTCACTCTCATATTTCAAGGAGGGTGCCTTAGATGTTTATGTGCCAAGCAGAAGGGTGGCTGGTTATATGTTTGGCAGGGAATTGGTTGGTGTTTGACAGGCTGAAAAATGAATGCTCTAATCCTGGGAGGATGTTGGCATTTAGAATACTAGACCGAATATAAGGGAACACTTCCTGCTGATGCCTCCTAGACAGTCATGGAGCAATTTCCCAACATACTCTGAATAATCGTTGTGTATTTTATGTGTAAGGGATTTTCTAGCAGTCTGGTCATCCAGATCCCTGTGTGCTTCACCGCAAAGTTGCAATTATGGCAATAAATTGGTCCACGTTCAGCTTGTTACTGGTCACATCCTAAATATATTCTGTTAGCAAGGACGGTGAAAAAAAGATTTTCCTGTTTGTAGATGTCAGAGAAAAAAAGGGAATCATTTGTTTTTCCTCTGAGGGATTCAATAAGTCATCCAAACTACACAAGTCTGTTAAGCAATGCTTGTACTTCCCGCTATCCTAACATCTGTGTAAATGGGTGGATGAAGGTTCCTTTTGTGCGCTCTACCAGCTTTATGCTACCTTAAATGTAGCTTTTTTTTTTTTTTTTTTTTTTGTTTTAAGTCATTCATTTACTTTTTTCAGTAATGTCTCTACACCTGAAAGCCACGTAGCCTAGCTGAGTGACACCGGGAAATAAAACTGCCATAATTCTTCTGTGGTCACCATGCTCAATAAAAAGATTGCAGCAGAATTAAGTGAGTGTATTTTATGGACTAGTGGAAGGTCACATGCTCTCGGCCAAAGCTTGACATTTGCTCAGAACCAGCCAATTAGATCAGAACACAGGCATAGGATTTTGACGGAGAACATAAGTCCAACCATTGCAGTTATGTTCAATACTGTCAGCTGAATGGAGCCTGACAGACAAGTATTCAGTTTTTGTGTGTTTCAGTGTATAAGGTTTTTGGCAAGTGTTAGCCCGGAGGGCAGGGTTGTAAAACAGGTTATATTAGCAACATGATTTGGGTATCTTGTAAGGAAATGCAGGTGGGACACAGTTCGGTGCTGGATTTTTATACATAAAATAATGAAACCTTTTAGATTCACTGAAGCAAAATTATTCCATTGATCATATAAACCCAAAACAAAAATGAAATGTAAAGCAGTTTACCGGTCCTTAGTGACTTGCCTCAGCTCATGGTTTGTTTGTGGTTTTTTTTTTTTTTTTTTTTTCTTTTTCACCTACTGAAAACACACTTCCTGTCCCTGGGTGGCTACGCTCATTCCTGCATTGTATCTATGGAGGGAGCTTGAATTGTCACCTAGGCTGGAGTTCCACATATCTGCCTTTTGTTCATCACCATTACATGGAAGTAGTTGTGCTTGTGTGTCACAGGAAGTGACCAGAACTCTATATTTCTGGCAAGATAACAGGTATTTTTTGTATTTGCTGAAAATGTTTTTAGCTGACAAAATGAAAAATAATGCAGCCACCACATCTAAGGACTGCTAAGCTGCAATTTATTAAATTTTCAGCTTTAAAGTGGTTGTAAAGGTTCAAGGTTTTTTACCTTCATGAATTCTATGCACGAAGGTGAAAAACCTTTGCACAGCAGCCCCCCCCCCCCAATACCTACCTGAGCCCCATTGCGATCCAGCACTGTGCATGAGAGCCTCAGCTGTCCTGGGTCTCTCTCTCCTCATTGGCTGAAACTGCAGCCAGTGAGCCAATGACGAGAGAATGGGGTGCGGGGCCGAACTGCGTTTGTGTGTGACTGGACACACAGACTAGCTGCTCGGGATCGAGCCTGCTCAGGTGCCCCCATAGCAAGCTGCTTGCTCTGGGGGCACTTGGCAGGAGGGAGGGGCCAGGAGCGCTGGTGGAGGACCAGAGAAGAGGGGGATCAGGGCTGCTCTATGCCATAACAGTAGTGACTTTGTGCTGTTTTTAGGCAGATATCAAATATCCACTGTGAAGCACCAACAGGAATACACTACACACCGAAAAGGTTTCTGGACCATCACACCTTGTCAGGCATCCTATTACAAAATTATTGGGATTATTATGGAGTTGACACCCTTTTTGTGCTAGAACAATTGCCACTCTTCCAAGAATATTATTTCTACAAGATTATTGTAGCTCATCTGTGGGAATTTGTCTCCATTTAGTCCAAAGAGCATTTGTGAAGTCAGACATTAACAAAGAATGAGACGACTTGGTTTGTATTTGGTGCTCAAGTTCACCCCAAAGGTGTTCAATAGGGTTGAGATCAGGGCTAGTTGAGTTCCTCCATGCCAGACTCCTCAAACCATGTCTTTAGGAAGATGGTTTTGTGCACATTTAGTCCAAACAGCATTTGTGAAGTCAGGCATTAACAAAGAATGAGACGACCTGGTTTGTATTTGGTGCTCAAGTTCACCCCAAAGGTATTCAGTAGGGTTGAGATCAGGGCTACTTGAGTTCCTCCATGCCAGACTCCTCAAA